TTAATTTAAACACTTACTATACCTTTTGATCATGCTTCACATATGACATTCTGGATAAGAGAAAACTGGAGATAGCAAGAAGAGCAGTGCCAGGAGTTATCAGGGAAGGAGGACGAACTTGTGGAGCTCAGGGACGATCAGGGCAGTCGTTGACACATGTCTTTCCTTATTTGTCAAAACCAAGTACAGTTCCCCAAAAGTGAACCTAATATAAACTGAGTGATAGTGATGTATCAGTGTAAGCTCACTGATTGTAATAAAAATGTGCCACTCCGGTGCGCAGTGCTGACAGCAGCGGTAGATGTGGGGACAGGGGTAGATGGGAAACCTCCACGCTTCCCGCTCAGCTTTCCTGTTTATCTGACACTGCGATAGTAGAAAAGTTTATTAATAAAGGGACTGCATATAGCTAATATATATATGACCATATGCCTTATCTCCTTAGTAATTCACAAAATGCATATAAAAAATCACAAAAGATACTACCAAAAGTGCCCCAGATGGTGACACAGTCCACAAATGCCAAATGCTAAAAAGGAGGGATCAAGGTACTTTCATTTCCAGCTGGTGGAAGAATAAATGGATACAATCCCATTCTGAAAACCATTTTAGCGCTAACTAGAAAAGCTGAAGAGCCACACTCCCAGTGACCCCCAAATTTCACTCCTGGTTTACAGAAACTCAAGTCCCGTGAGCCAGGAATACGGCAGTTTGGAAGAACTGTCTTAGACTGTGCCTCTGTAACAAAATACCATATGCCAGGTACTTAGAGACAACACGAATTTATTTGTCACACTCCTGAGGCCGAGAAGGCCAACTTCAAGGTGCTGCCTGTCTTGCTGTCTGGTAGGAAAGCTCTCTGCTTCGAGATGGACCCATGACGCTGTCCTCACACGGGAGAAAGTTGAAGGTAAAAAGAGCTAGGCAGGGTTGCTGGGGGTTTAGCTCAGCAGCATAAGCACCTGCCTTGCAAGCAGGCGGTCGTGAGTTCAATCCCTGGTACCGATAAAAAGGAAAAAGACAAAAAAAAAAAAAAAAAAAAAAGAGCTAGGCGGCTGCACCCTAATCTCAGTCACAGCAGAGCAGCCTCCTGTCCACATCACTTTCTAACGGCCTTAAGTCTTAATACTACTGCACTCCAGATTAATTTTCAATATGAGTTTTGGAATGGACTAAGACATTTAAGCCATAGCACTAACTCGTTAATAAAAAACACTGAAGATACCCGTATACCTACCAACCAGGATCAGTCAGTCTATGAGATAAACAATGGAGTCCCACAGAGCAATGACAATGAATGACCACGACAACATACAGCAGCATGGGATAATCTTAAAACTATAATATTAAGTAAAAGGAGCTCAACATAAAAATAATTCATACTCAGACTCCATTAATATACACTTAAAAACAGAGCAGACCAAACCATGTTGATACGCGGTGAAAACAGCTGGTAGGGGTATAGAGCAAAGCAAGAGAGGATTTCCATTAAAGTCAAACTAGGGGACGAGGGCTGGAAGAGAAAGAGGTATGATTGGGGATCCGCTCCGGGAAACTCATGGTGATGTTTTACTTCCTGATCTGAGGGTTTAGTTATTCAAATGTGTGTTTTATGATTATCCACTATAGTGTTTTATGTACTTTTCCGTACAGAATTATTAAAGTTTATGAAAAGAAGAAAAAATTCATGACTAAAAACAGATGCCCATGTGACAAGGGCAGCAGAGCTGAGTTTTGAGAGTTTGGGCCTGGGGCCATGGAGAGTGGGTCCTTATTTTGGGAACCAGCTGAAAAAAAAAAGGAAAGCCATATTTCTGTTTCATAACTATCATCTTGGGAGTAAAGGAGGGTTCTTTGGCTGCAATAAAATATTAACAAAAGGTCCCCCCTATTCTTTAATGAGCTGACCCTGCTGATGAGCCAGGGTCAAGACAGAGCTGAGGCCGAGCCGCACAGGCTCCAAGCCCCTGCTGACATGCTCACTTCCAGAAAGCCCCCTTTCAAGTGTCTCCAGAGTTCCAGGATGAAGTGCGACTTTTGTGATGTCATCAGATTCTGTCTCTGACCTCACCCACCAGAAATTGCCAATATTGATAATTGGTAGTGGATGACCTGCCACCAGTTTTCTGTTTCTCTTCTTCTGGGAAAGAAGTACTAACCAAAGTGTCCACTGCAGCTGGCTAAGTGCACCTACCTGGTGGGGCCTTGGTGAGTGGGGGCCAGATGCCAGAGAGAGCAGAAGGGAAGCTGCGGTCTTTGTTGTGAGGTGGTAGGTGGTACAGGCCCCCCATTCTGGCCTGCCAGCCTGGGGAGACTGAGTTCACACTGAGGATCTAAGTCTGATACCTTCTCCTCTCTAGAAATCCATGATCTGGTCAGACAGGGGACACTGACAAAATGACTTTTCATTTCCATTGTCCTTCTGCCTGAAGGCAAATTCCCTTCTGCCTGAAAGGGCAGGATAGTGTTTGATAGAAGCCCAGATTCCCAAAATGAGCCCACTTTTTTTTTTTTTCCTTTTTATCGATACCAGGGATTGAACTCACGACTGCCTGCTTGCAAGCAGGCGCTTATGCCGCTGAGCTAAATCCCCAGCCCCATTGAGCCCACTTTTAAACAAGTTGGCTTTGGGGGATAAAGGATATCTTGGGTACATGAACAGTGGCTTGGTTCAGCCTTGAAAATACTGTCCCTGTCAATGACATTAGTTCATATTTTGGATTCTGTCGCAAAATCTGCAGTCTGACTCTCATCACCTCAATCACCCACTGTCCCTGCTTCTGCAACTAACAGCCTCACCCGGCTCCAGGTCTTGGGGTGGTGGGGACAGTAGTGTGGGCTCCTTGCCCTGAGCCTCCAATCATCACAGTGGCACTGATGAGCACTCGGCCAGCTCTCCTGGCCACCACCCACCTTTTCCCTCTCATCCAAAGCATTTACAAACATCTCATCTGGGCGGTGTGTGTGTGAAGCTATCTGTAGGCAACTCGGTGGGGGAGTTGTTTGGTTTGGGTAAGTAGAAACAACTCTGTGATGGCTACACTGGTGCATCCTACGTCTCTGTAAGGCCAGGTGAGCATTTCTAATGAAATATGATCTAGAGAGCAGAGGCAAGTTCCCAGGGCAACCCAGGGATCAGTGACACTCTGGGATATGAGGCTTGCACCCCCGCATCTCTCCACTTGGCTGGTCCAGGTACTCAGCAACTTTCTGATCAACAGTGGGGCCTTCCTCAGTCCTGTACCTTAGCCAATCCTAAGAAGATTTTCTAGTTAGGATCCTCAAAAGGCTCTCCTTTCTATCCAGTCTTCACCAAGGGAAAAGAGGAAGCTGAGGGTGGGCAGCTATGTTTTAAGAGTTGTTCCAGTCCCTATCCCACTGGCTAAGATTTAGGCGACAGCTGTATCCAGCTGTAAGGGGCTGAGACATGAGGCCGTAGCAGGGTTGCCGGGGTGCAGCCTGTAACCTGCGGAGCTCTACTGCTAAAAGGAAAAGGGAAAGAAAGGACACAGGGAGCTCACAGAAGTCTGCCACACTGGATCTGTTGAAATTGGGTGCCATGAATGAAGGTGGGTTCCAGCAGAAAGCAACTGACTGTCAGAAAGCACCATCTGTTTGGGCTACTTAGACCTTTTGTTGCCTTTATTGTTCTGGATTCTGCCTCCAGACAAGATATGGGGAGGTGAGCAGCCTATTTATAGACAGTAACTGGCACAGTCATTCAAAGATGACAACCCAGGCCAAGGGCACGCCTACCTGAATAGACTGAGTACCCGCATGGAAACTGGATTCAGCGTCACGTGCATTGAGGACAAGTACCAAACCCTCTGCTACTCATTCTCACACAGCTTTATGGAGAACCTGCTGTAAGTCTGACACCTGTGTGGCTGATATTTAATGGCTGGAACCTTGGGTCGTTGCTTCCGCTACAATGCAGCCCAACTGGCTCCCAAGTACCCCTGCCATGTTCTTGATGTCCATCAGATCCCTCCTCCAAGGGCTGCAGTGGGTGGTGTGGGCTTATCAGCAGGTTCTGTGATCCGGCATCAGAGAGAAGAAACCATTTCTGCCTACGTCCCATTGCCCCACCGTGACAATAGCAAAAATAGCAAGCAGTATTTACAGAGCACTTTCTTTGTACACTATATCTTACTTGATCCTTATGGCCATTCTTTAAGGTTACTACCATTATTTCCCCCATTTTATAGATGCAAACAATGAAACTCAGAGACATTAAGTCCTGTATTTAGGTGGCCCAGCTGGAACTTGGATTCATGGAGTTCAAGTTTGTGAACACCACTTTTTGTTTTTATCTGATTTGTCTTTGCACCCACAAGTCTTTCTAGGGAAGTATAATAAAAGTGTTAGGATATAAGGCCTAACAGCCAGCCCCGCCCTCTCAGTTGAGAAGGAAAAACAGAGAGAGCAAGTTAGCTACCCCAGATCGCACAGCATGATAACAGCCACGTCAGAACTCAGACCCCAGACCCCCATGATCTGTTGCCATGGCCTGATAGAAAGCCTTCCTGGGCCATTAATGAATGGATAAGTGAGTGAACGCTTTTAAATGGATAGTTCTTGGCAGATTCTGTCGAATGGCTCACCCTGGGGTTTTCGAAGGGTGGGTGGGGTGTCAGAGGTGCTGTGCTGCTGATTAGGGGGGATACTCCATGAAAGCCTAGCTAGGCTGTCACCCTCTCCTCTGGCATCACACACCCAGGAGCTCCCACTGTTTCCTCTCTGACCTTTTTTTATCATATTGGTAACAGCCCTGACAAGACCTTACCATTATAAACCACAGGAAGGGCCCCCCTTCTAGAGAATATTCAGTAGTGGCTTCTGTCCCCTTAGCTGTGGCACTGGAAGCACCGGAAAACAAAAGTCTATTAAGTAAATGTGCAAGGCTCCGCCTGGGAAAGGCAGGCTGTTGGCCACAGCCCCTCACTTTGCACGCTGATCTTTAGGGTTCAAACAACTGACTGCTGCCCCCAGGGTCGAAATTGGCTTCCTCTCGCTGGGTGGCGGGGATTTTGATGAAACTGGAGACCCACTTGAGGAGTGTAGCCTTGGGCAAACTTGGAAATGACCCAGCCCACTCGATTGGGCCTCCTGGGCGGGGCCGTGGCGTCTGTAGCAATTTCTAGTGTTCGGGAAGAGGGCGCCGGAACCGATACCAGCCGCAGAGCAGCCGAACCGCGAGGTGGTCCCCGGGCGGGGTGAAGCGGTACCTTCGTGGGGTTCTGTATCTTTCCCTGCTTCTGGCTGGGCTGGGGGGGGCTGGGAGGCCTCAGAAGACAGTTCCGGAGGAGAGGAGGTGGCCCAGCAGCCGCGGAGGCCCAGAGTAGCAGCCGGGGATGCGGGAACGAACTGCAGCAAGGGACCGGCAGCCTTGTGCGTGTGCGATGGGAATTTGCAGATGGTTTCTGGTAGTGACCGGAGCTCCGAGGCGGAGCCTGGGTCTTTGCATCTGATAATCTAGCCTGGTTCCCCGACAGGTCTGAGCAGCCTCGGGGAGGGGCCGCGGCTGGCTGCTGCTGAGAGGAGCTGCTCCCGCAGTGGTGCGGAGGGGAATTTGCTGACGGTCCCTTGCCAGGTGGTGCTGGGTCCACAGAGCCAGCGAGGAGGAGGAGGACCGGCTGGCAGCTCCTCCCAGGTAGGAGCGTGTGGCCTGTCGCCGCACCCGGCAGCCCGAGCACCGCGCCTAAGCTGGGCCGTGGCGCCGAGGTGCAGATGTGGTGAGCGCGCGCGGTTAGAGCCCGGGCGGATGGGGATGGGGTCGGGGCGTGAATTCGGGTTGAGGACCGGGATGGGGCGGAGAAGCTCGCTAGCTCGGTGCTTCCCGGGACCTGGGATTGGAAAGATGGGGGTGGGGGAGACTGCGCCACGGAGCCTTGGCACGCTGGCTGTGCCCCCGCTTGTACCCAGGGAAGGGTGGCCTGAGCTGCCCACTGGGGAGGGCGTGGGTAGACCGACCTCACGGAGGGGCTGGAGTGGGTGGAGGCTCGCCTGGGGGCCCCCAGCTCTGCCCGACAGGCTGGAAGGAATTACCGCTGGGGACCACCCCCACCACACCCAGGGATTCCCCAAGCTCTGCCGCCCACTCCCTGGGCTGGGAAGGGAGGAGACAGTCACCCCATCCTTAAGGATGAGCACAGCGTCATCATCACTGCTGCTGTGCTCCGGAATGGGGTCCCATATCCTGCTAGGTGGCCTAGGCTCCTGGGCTACCAGGGGCAAAGGATGCCTGCCACCTTTCCCCCATGTGCTTCCAAAGAAAGGTTCTGGGTTCTGTCCTCACAGTGGCTTTGAGCGAGAAACTTTGGGATTGGATGAAGGCCCTGGGGAAACTGAAGCCCAGTAGAGTTTTGGCTTGACCAAGATCACTTAGCAGGTCTACAGAGCTGGCCTCCCAGACACTGCGTGCCCCCACGCCCTCTGGAGGAGCAGGGCCGTACTCTCCAGACCTCTAGTCCAAGCTGGTGTGGAATTTCACTCTGGTGGGATCCCTTCCTGGATCCCCCTTCCTTAGCCCTTCAAGGAGTTGCCCTGCTCCATGGGGTTCCAAGGTGCCATGGGTATGAACACTGTGGGGATCAGAAGTGTCTGGGGACAGGAAAACACTGCTCAGGAGACACTCATCTGAGCACAGGGGACTGTGGGGCTGTGGACCTGTGGGCCTGTGCTGTCTCTGGGGGCTCCGGGAGGCAGTGAGAGGAAGCTACAGGAGAGGACCACTGGCAGCGTCCAGCCTGTATGTCAGCCTTGATGGAGCCCTAGGTACACTTCCCAGGCAGTGGGGTGGGGGGTGGGGAAGGTGCAAATGACAAGGAGATGGAGATTCTCCTTTAATAGGCAAAGGCTTGGGAAGGTGTTAGGGAATGTGCCTTCTCTCAGCTGTGCCCTCGTTCTGTGTAGATCCATCTTTCTCTTCTCTCTTTTCTCCTGTCCTCAGAAAAAGTGACTGCACTAGATCTGTTGCCCTGTTGGTGAACTTTTCAACTCGACTTGTCTTTCCTCTCCCAGGGGGCAAGCACCCTTCCCTAGAGGGAAAGAATGATAGTGTTTCAGAACCTGAGCCAGCGATGGTCCACGTACAGATGAAGACACTGAGGAGGCACAGTGGTGCCATGGGTCCCTCCAGTCCTCTTGCCTGCACACAGGGCTCCCCAACCCACCCTAGGGCCAACTGGAGCCACAGGGTCTTGACAGCTCCTCTCCCCACAGCCCCAGCCCTAGCAGACAAGGCTATGAGTGCCTTCTGACAAGTATAGGGTGACAGGGGCAGCCTCAGTCACTTGTCCTCTTTTGAGATGTGCTTCTAGTTTCTTGAGGGGGAAGCAGATTGAAGAGGGGAACTAAAGTCCCCTGCTTACCTTCTCAAATACCCCACAGAGGTTCACTCTCTCCAGGGTCTGTCAGATCCAAAGATACCTGTCTCTCCTGCCCTGGAGCCAGCAGCTACGAGCACAGGGCCCAAGCAGCGGAGGGACCCACAGGCAGCTGGTAGCTGATGGCACAGGAGTGTTTGACCAGCTGTGCTGAGGAAAAGGAGTTGCTATGTGCCAGGCCCACAAGTGGCTGCTTTTCAAAGACACTTCCTGAGCACTGAGCCCTTGAAGCTGGTGCTGGTGACGATAGCATGCCTGGGGCTGGTCACCAAGAATCTCTGGAGTGATCTGTGGGAAGGGGTGGAGTCCCTAGAAAACCAGGTGAGAACAGTTGAGTGTGGACTGACAGTACACTGCCAGAGAGGACAAGACCTACTCTGAAAGGAGGGAGAAGGGGCAGAGGGAGAAAGGTAGTGAGTGGGGAGAGAAAGAGACTAAATATTCAGCTCCTCCACTCAGGGAAGCTGCTGGCAATCACTCATGGACAGCACAGGCAGTACAAACCCCATCCTGGACAGTTGGGTGTGGAGATACCTTATCCAGATGGGTGGGAGGGCTTTGGAAACTTGTCAAGCGATTGTTGCAGCCAGGAAGTATTACTCCTGGAGATTTCCGCCTTCATGGAAGCTGTCTGCTTTCTGCCTCCATGGAGGAAATGTGGTTGTTCCTTCTCTTGAGGATGTCCTCATCCTGTGTGACAGTCCAGGGCCCCATCCAGGCTTGCAAGGAGCTTGGCCCTTCTAACACACTTTGAGTTGTGTATTGGCCCTTTGGGGCTTTCCTTTCCTACCCTCAGCGGCCTGTGATATTTAACCTATTTGTCACAGTAGCAGGCATGAAATGCTCCCTACAGGCCTGTATTGTCCCACCGACTCTCCTCCTGGGGATAGGAAGGTCGGTCCTTCCTATCAAGCAGCTGGTGAAGAACCATAGAGATAATGGACATAAAGTGCCAGGGGCTCTTTGTACAGTGTCCAGGGTGCAGGAATTCACATGGCATTCAAGCTAAGGGCAGGCTCGCCCAGGGAGAGTGCTTAGGGGAAGTGCTCAGCATGGAGTGAGATCAGCAGCTTTTAGTGCACTGCCTTGCTTGAGCTGGGGCCCTGTGCCCTCCCTCCCACCTCCTGAGGGGAGGGTAGTGATTTGCACAGCTTACTCTCATGTCAGCATGAGTGGTCAACACGATGCTTCATGTTCTTGCCCCTGAGTTGTTATATGCAGCTCTCGTAAGGCTGGCCAGGAGAGCTGGGGTCAGGAGCTGGGCCCCCGAGACGAGCTATGATGTGCTCTTACTCTATACCTGGATTGCTCAGTGCCAACCAAGAGTGGCTTTTAAGGAGAACACCCTAAAGTCGTGACCCATGTCCTATGTTTCCGGGGCAGGATATGTACCCCAGCCGCCATATTCTGGGCACCCCTGGGGCTGGTACTGAGACATGCAGAGAGGCAAGAGGGGAGGGGTGGTCTCAGTATTGCCTTCTACTTCCTTCTCATCATTAGTGATGTTCCCCAAAGAGGACAGAAGCATGGAGCCACTTTGAAAACCAGAGCTAGGACCCACGCATCCTGGGCTCCCGCCTTAGGCTTTCTCTCCCTTCCCCTCTGATGTCTGCCCTAATACCTGCAATAGGGGGCTGGGAAGACTGGACAGGGGCAAATGAGCTATGGGACTGCCTTGGGCCTGTGTGCCATCATTCCTGCCAAGTCAGAGTCTCTGATGTCCTCAGGATCAGAGGCAGAAAGGCCCAGCCAGCTTCCAGCAGGAAGCCAAGATTTTCCCTCTGCATCCCTGAGTGACTTGGCCAAGAAAGGTGGCCTTGGAGACCACAACCTTCTCATTGTGACTTAGTCTGCTCCAAATTGTGTCTAGCCAGTTGAATTCTGGCCACAGGCCATGTGTCCTGGCAGGAGAGCAGCGGACCCTAAGGGCTTTGGAGGGTCAAGGCAGTGTCGTGAGCCTGTGGCTAGTGAGGTGGCAGGGAGGTGGCTGTGTGCTGGGGTTTTGATCCTGGGGCCTCATCACCTCAGTGTACCTGAGTGGCAGTAATTTAAGTGACATTACAGTGAGGACATCAGCCATGTAGCATGAAGGACCGTCACACTTAGACACATCTGGGAGGTGATGTCCCGCCTGCTTCATTGCCTCTCCAGTGTAGTCCTGTGATTGCCGCATGGTAAACCAATCCCCAGTGTGCACAGCATCTGGGAAGGCGGACAGCAGGAAGGTGACTGAGTGGTGCCGGTGACTGAGTCCCTTTTGCATTTGCTTATTGCCTTCTCTCTGAGTGACCGGCTCAGGGATGCCTGGCCACACTGTGATGGCAGCGCACTATGTGCGACAAGGGGTGACTGACAAATTGCATTGCTCCAGCCTCCATGAGAACTGAGATGGTCCCTTCAAAAAGGCTTCGGGTCCCTGAGGACCTGGTGGGGCTGGCAGAGGGGTGGAGGTCACCTCAGAACTGAAAGGGCTGTGTGGCGGGTGTGCAGGGAGTGGGACAGCCATGCTGTCTTGGGGCCAGGGAGCTCACTTGTGTGCCTAGGTGTTTAGTGGGGCCAGTGTGTGTCGATTTTCTCAGGCACTAGAACCACCTGAATAGGGTGCCTGGCCTGAATACCTGGGTGCTATTCAGTCACCCCACTTTCCCTTTTACCACTTTGGAGCCCTCTCCATATCCTAGGAGAAAGGTGAAGCTTACTTGATAGAGGAGAAAACTCAGGTTCTGAGAGTATGTACAAACCGTAGCCACACACACACCAGCAGCAGAACCCCAGTGGGCCTGTGTTATTTATGCGGTGCTGTCCGCACCTCGGGCACAGCTTGGACCTTTGTTCCTGCTGCCACTGGTGCTGGTGCTGGTGCTGGTGCTGCTGCTGCTGCTGGTTTTGCTGAAGTTGCTTAAGACAAAAAGACTTGAAGTAAAGGTCGTGTACTTGTCCCCTTCCCCTCCATTCTGGGCAGTGTGCCCAGAGCTGGGTCTACTGAAAGATAGCTCCTGTCACAAGAGCAGGGAAAGAGGAAGGACAGGATGGCACCTCTCCTTGACAGGTACAGAGAGAAGAGATGCAAGCTTTGCATTCCTGTCCGAGTTTCATGCAGATTGCCCTGCGTGGAGTAGCCAGGGTGGAAGGGGCCAGAATGCTATGCACAAGCCCTGGACCCTGTCACAGAGCTGTAAAGGAGAGGGGCAGAGGAGACCCAGTTCCAGTGCTTCCCAGTGGGTCCAGGAAGGACACCCAGGCTGGACCAGCCCTGTTCTTTTCTAAGCTACTGAGGAGCTGGGAGGAGACATGGGCCTCAGTCTATGGGCTGTGGGTATCCCCGGGATCCTGCCACTTATTGGATG